ATAATAAAATAATAATAATAAAATATGTTATAATAAAAATATATATAAATATAAAAAATAAAGAAACAGGGTCAACAGTGTCTATTTTAGGATAGACAATTTGAATTAGTCTGAGTCTTATCTTTTGATAATTACTAAAATAAGTTGTGTATCTTATATTATGTAATAATAATGTAGGAGACTTTCTCTTTTTTTAGTTAATAAATTTGAAGCAAGGCTTCGCTGAAACTTTTAAAAAAAAAAAATATTTTTACATTACAAGATATCAATAAAAGTTATTATTTCAGTAATATGTGTAAGTAAGAGTTTGAAGAAAAATTATATATTGTTTTCAAATTCAAGATCAAAGTCAATAACTTTAGTAGGAAATTATAGGATAAATATTCTAAGCAAGTGAAGGATTTTGGTTAGGAAAAAAAAGAATGAAATTGGGAAAGAAAGTAATGGAAGGGTATATTTGATAATGTTAATAGTAAAAAATAGAAGTTACATATCTATACTTAAGAACTTATTGATAAGGTTAAACAATTGAAAGTTAATAATACTAACTTTATATCTCAAATTACCTGAATAAGAATTTTTATATTAAGTATAAAGTTAAGTATAATGCTCAATTAAAAAAAATAAAATTACTGAAAGTTATGATTAAGATATTGAAAGGTAAGTTAGTTTTAGTACAGAGAGATGTATATTCAATTCAGAATAATTCATTAAATAAAGAATCTGAAATTTACTTTTTCAAGACTAAATTAATAAATATAAAGAATAAATTGACTTCAAAAGTTAATAAGTTTGAGTGCTTAAAATTGGAGAATGATTTGATATCCATAATTGGTGAAAATGATAAAAAAAATATTTTGTAATTAATAAAAATACTAAAAGTCTCAGGTTATATTTAGTATGTAAAAAAAGTATGAATCAAGATAAAAAAATTAATACTAATATATATTGCCTTATATTAATAATAAAAGTAATTCTATATTTGAATTTTAAAAGTTGATATTGAGATCAGTCCCAAGATAAGTAATGAAACTAGTATTAGTGAAACTAATAAAAATAAAAACAAAGTCCTATTGTTTTGTAATAATATACTAGATACATCTATAAAATCTAATATATTACTGATTATACTTAAAAATATGAATCTACACCTTGCACAATAAAAAAATAATAATAGAGCTAGTACCAAGTATACTTCACTTTACAATGAAATAATTACATCAATTATATCAATTAGTAAAATAATTATATTGAATTATATTCACAAATTATTTTACTTAGTAATACTTATAAAAAATTATAATATGTCAAATTATATTAGTGTTATGTTAAATAAGTATAATACCAAGACTATACTTGTATACAAAATTATCTTGAAACTCCAAAATTACAATTTTGAGAAAAAAAGTCAAAATAGTTTTTTATAGAAGACAAAATTATTTTATTTAAAATTCAAAATTTTTTGATCACCCAGATTTATTCTTTGATTGAATATACACATAACTGGATACTTTTTTTACTTTCATATATAGAATAGATTCTGCATAAATTTCAAAAAGTCAAAATACCTCAAAAATTCAAAATCAATTTTGGGAATATATATAATTAAGACATATATGATTTCATTAATTAAATTACATTTTCAGATTTTAATAGAAGAAATAGAAGTGATTTTCATCTTAATAAATACTTTGATGATATCTATCAATATATATGTATATTATTTATCTTGTTAATTATTATTGTTATGTAGTTAGTAGTATTGAGATATGAATTAAGTATAGGTAAAAAAAGTGATCAGTTTCAGGGTGCATGGGCTGGATAGTAAGACTATCTATTTGTCATTGCTTTTTGTATCAGATTCTTCTAGACTTTTTACAATACTAGTTTATCACTTTTTAAAGATTAAAAAAAAGTTTTCTAAATTTTACCAGTATCTTAATTTTTTGATTATTTAAAGAATAACCATCTCAGAATTGTTCCAATTGATATTAACTTTGACCTTTGAAAGTCAATTATTTTCTACAATCATTTGATAGGTTTGTATATCAGTTACAACTATATTAATTAGAATCTAATAACCTCTAACTTCAAAAAAAAAGTTGGAGATTTTTCTTACTACTTTCTTACTTTCTCCATGGATACTGATTATGTTAACAGTAGAAGACCATTCTACTTTTTTTTTCAATCTTCTGCAGTAGGTAGAAGGATACAACATTTTCAGAAGAATTACTATTTACAATTAGGAGAATGGTTTTTTCTTTTACTTTGATATCACAATATAGGACAATTAATCTTTGATTCAGTTGAATTTCTATATTGGTCTTTGTTTTATTTTAGGTGAAGTTTTCTTGATTTGGAGACTTTTTATTAGATCCTACCTCATTCTGAAGGTACCAAGGAGCAATTGGCCATAGGTGATATCTATTATTAATTTGATATAATATTATATGCAATATATATAAACTTGAACTTGATAGTTATTTGAAATATTTTTTTGTGCATGTTATACATTTGTTAGATAGTTTCTGTCCAAAATATTATATTGATAATAATAATGCTTGTTTCCCCTTATAACATATTACATTAACTTTAAAATAATTATCTTATTAAAGATGGTTTAAAGGTATTCTGAGAAGTTGATAAAGGAGTAGAACTACAATTTGATAAAGAAGATGATATAAAATGAGATATGATTTAATATATATTTTGTATAAATAATTCTATAAAATAATTCACAGTTTGTTCACAAATCTCTATATTATTGTTTTAAGCTGTTGAAACTCATGAGAAACTCGAAAAAAGTAATATAAAAAAAGTTTACTAAATAATCACATAAATCACAATCAACTCTTATTAATCACATTTTCCTGATTAGCCGATATGTAATACAGATACAATGAGTTCTCTAAATATATCTTCGTGACAGTTCAATTTTTGCATTTTGACAAAGTCACTGCATGTTTTTTACTTGTTACATCTTAACGATAATGAGAATTGTTTTTAAGAACTTGATAAATAAATAAAATCAACTTAGTATCATCTTTGGACACGTGAAATACTGCAATTCCTAAAAAAATATAATGGAAATATCTTGTCCTTGCGCTCAGCCTTTGACACAGCCACGGAAGAGCTTTTTTAACCATCATTGATTTCTATCAAAGAAAATCTAATTGTTTTATCTCAAAGAAACGAAACTTTAACGAAAACAATATCGTTCGTTTCTGAACGTAATACAAACCATCTGATTGTAATAGTTTAAAAATACACAATCAGCAGTGAAACATATTTTTGAAACCACATAATAATTATAATTATTTACCATTTATATGTATAAATTCCTTTAATAACCTTTTTTTATAGTGATAAAAAAAACAAAAAAATTTAAAGGAATAAATTATTAATAAAATAATAGAAAACAATTATTATGACAGACGTTCATATTAGAGCTGCTAATATCATTGAAGACCTTAGTGGTGGTCAAGATATTATTCAAGAAAATTTTTCTGGTCCTATAGTTACAAATAATCATAATGCAAGTTCCTCTTCGGTGGTAGTTGTCATTCCGGTGCGTGGAATGACTTGCCAATCCTGTGTAAGCTCCGTTACAAATGTACTTTCAATACTAGCCGGAGTATCCAATGTCGTCGTTAGTCTGGAAAAAGCAGAAGCTAATGTCACATATGATGCTAGCAAAGTAAGCAAAGCTCGGATTATTGAAACGATTGAAAAAGCTGGGTTCAAAACTTCTCCAGAAAAAAAGCAGAATCCTGATATTCCCTCTAGCAATTTATCGATTACTTTACCTATCAAAGGAATGAGCTGTATGTCTTGCGTAAATTCAATTACGAAAGCTCTGAGTTCTACACCTGGAATAATTAATGTTATTGTCAGTTTACAGGATAATAATGCTTTAATAGAATATAATTCCGCCATAATCTCTCAAGATAAAATTGTAGAATGTATCAAAAATGCTGGATTTACTGTTCCATTGGATTTAAATGACGATGAGGCAATAAAATCAATAACGTTACCAGTAAAGGGAATGTCATGTAATTCTTGTGTCAACAAAATAACGAATGCTCTAAAGTCAATTTCGGGTATTAAAAACGTAGTAGTCAATTTAATAGATGAAAATGCTCTCGTCGAATATGATGATAAATTAATCGACGAAAATCAAATTATAGAAGCAATTAAAAAATGTGGATTTAAAGTTCCTGTAACATCTTCTGATTCATGTCAAAAAGAACCATTAATCACGGAATTTGCAGCATTCACTGACATTACCTTAAAAGGTTTACCAGAAGAACTTTATCCTCTCGAGAATATAAAGTCCGATCAGTTTGAATTCGAAAAAATAAAAACTATCCAAATACAAATATCTGGAATGACGTGTGCATCATGTGTCAATAATATAGAGAAGCACTTGAAAGTTGTTCCGGGAATATCATCGATCACAGTATCTTTACTTTCTGAGAAAGCAACTGTAAAATATGATCCTGATATATTAGATGAATTTAAGATAGCTGGAATGATTGACGACATTGGATTTATTGCAACTCCCATTAAACAAAAACGAGAAGATACCGTTGAACTTCAAATATTTGGAATGCAAGATCCTTCTAATGCTGATGTAATAGAGATGGAATTAAGTAAAGTATCTGGAATTCTAAGTGTTTCCGTAAATTATGACACATCAGCAATGACAGTTCAATTTGATAAGGAGGTGTTGGGTGTTCGAGACATTGTAAATTGTATAGAAGATTTTGGGGTAAATGCTTTAATTAATGATAATAGCAAAAAAAATCAATTAGAATCTTTGGCTCGTACTAAAGATATTACTGAATGGCGATCAGCATTCCGTAAATCTCTTATGTTTGCAATTCCAGTATTTCTTATTTCAATGGTTTTTCCTCAATTCTGGTGGGGTTCGGCTTTAGTAGATATAGAACTAATCCATGGTTTATATAGTGGAGACCTCATCTCTCTTATTTTAACGATTCCAGTTCAATTTGGGATTGGACAAAGATTTTATATAACATCATATAAATCCTTGAAACATAAGGGTGCCACCATGGATGTATTAATAGTACTTGGCACGACTTCAGCTTTTGTATTTTCATGTTGTTCGATGCTCTTTGCGTTATGCTCTCCTGATAATGGAAAACCGTCCGTATTTTTTGATACTTCAACTATGTTAATAACATTTGTTTCTCTTGGTCGATATTTGGAAAACTTAGCTAAGGGTAAAACTTCCGTAGCTTTATCAAAATTAATGTCTCTTACACCTTCTAATGCCGTAATATATATAAAAGATCCTAAAACTGGTGATATTATTGAAGAAAAAAAGATTCCCACCGAATTAATTCAAATGGGAGATATCGTAAAAATTGTACCAGGTAATAAAATTCCTGCAGATGGTATAGTTACTTCTGGTAGTTCAACTGTGGATGAATCAATGGTTACTGGAGAAGTTAATCCCGTTAACAAGAAACTAGGTGATTTAGTGATTGGTGGTACAGTAAATGGATTAGGATCTTTTGAAATGGAAGTTTCTCGTTCTGGAAATGATACTGCATTATCTCAAATTGTCAAGCTTGTTGAAGAATCACAATCCTCAAAGGCACCAATTCAAGAATTTGCGGATAAAGTTGCTGGATATTTTGTGCCAGTAGTCATACTTTTGGGAATTTTGACATTCTTCGGTTGGATGTTTCTCACTCAAATTATGAATCCTCTTCCAGATGTCTTTAAAGATGGTAGTTATTTTATGGTTTGTCTCAAATTATGTATTTCCGTAATTGTTGTAGCATGTCCTTGCGCTCTTGGCCTTAGTACTCCAACAGCTGTAATGGTTGGTACAGGAGTAGGTGCTCAAAATGGTATATTAATCAAAGGAGGTGTTCCACTTGAAGCAGGGCATAAAATATCAAAAGTAGTATTTGATAAAACTGGAACTTTGACTAAAGGTTTATTAGAAGTCTCTCATTTCGAAATAACGAAAAATAGTTTAGATTTGAATAAAGAAATTTTCTTTACTATTATTGGTGCCGCTGAATCATTAAGTGAGCATCCTTTAGGCAGAGCAATATATAATTATAGCAAAAATCTTATGGAAGTTGAGACAATTTCTGCTCAAGTTAATGACTTTGAGGCATATAGTGGGTTGGGTGTAAAATGTACTGTTATTTTAAACACTAATTCTAATCCTTCAACATCAACCACAAATGTCGATTCGAAACATTACGATGTTTTAATTGGGAATGCACAATTTCTTTCTAAAAATGTCTCAGTTCCTGAATCTGCTATAGTTATAAAGGAAACTCAAGAACGTCTTGGACGTACTACTGTATTAGTATCTATGAATAATGAATTTATTGGATCCGTATTTTTATCAGATGCTATAAAACCGGAATCCAAAATAACTGTCGGAGCATTAAATTGTATGGGTATTTCAGTTGCGATGGTCACTGGAGATCAATTACTTACAGCACAAGCAATAGCAGCACAATGTGGAATTACTGAAATTCACGCTGGAGTTTCTCCTAAAGGTAAAATGCAAATAATTCAATCACTTCAATTTGAAGGTAAAAGGAACGTGGTGGCAATGGTTGGAGATGGTGTAAATGATTCACCAGCACTTGCCGCTGCAGATGTAGGAATTGCACTTTGTTCCGGAACGGATATTGCTATAGAAGCAGCAGATGTTATACTTATGCGTCCAGATATTACTGATGTAGTAGCAGCAATTGATTTATCACGAACAACATTTTATAGAATTCGATTGAATTTCATATGGGCATGTTTATACAATGTTGTTGGCATTCCATTAGCCATGGGAATTTTTCTCCCATGGGGATATCATTTACATCCAATGATGGCAGGAGCGGCAATGGCATGTTCAAGTGTTAGTGTTGTTTGTTCAAGTTTACTTTTAAGATGGTGGCGTAAACCAATTTGGATAGATAATGGTGATGGTGGAGTAGAGAGAATTAAAGATAACTATGGTTTCTTTAATTCAATTTGGGCAACAGTTAAACAAGGTCCATCAATGTCTCGTAGTGGAGCTGGACAAGGATATAGGCGATTGGCTGCTGAAGAGGACATATAAATTTTATAGATTGCACTAATTTTGTAATTACATTAAAATAGTTCATTCATAGAAATTATAATATAAAAACTTTAAAACGAAAATTAGTTAAATTAATTCTAAAATTTTTTAAAACTTTTTATAAAATGTATTTTAGCTTATTATTTTTTATATATTTTTATTATCATTTTTTAAATATTTTATTAATTAATTACTGAAAACAAAATCATTCCTATAACACTTCAAGCCTTTAATTTTTTAAATTTATTTAAGATTTATAATCATTACCAACTTTAGAGATTCTCTGTGTTTATTTGTTTATTTTAGTTTAGAGATTTTTTTTTAAAAAAAAGGGAGTTTTGATTTTTCCGATCACAACGATTCTTTAACTTTCAGATGTCACTAATCACATGGTTTACTTAATTTAATAAATCACTAAATTTATCTGTATAGTTGATTATCGTCATTATGGATCGTAGTTCAACTTCAACATTTTCAACCTTATTTGACGTTCCCGGTTGGAATCTGGGAAACTTGATAATTTCTGACCCTATAAACAATAAACGAAATAATAATAAACAAAATAATAATAATAATAAACAAAAAAATAATAATAAACAAAATAGAAAACGAAAATCAAAAAATGAACAAGGTTTTTATCCCAATAACAAAAAAATAAAGTTAAATGATCCAGAACCTAATATTGAAAATATCAAGTTGAATGATCAAGAACCCAATACTAAACAAATAAAGTTGAATGATCATACTGTACGAAATGTAAAGAAATTTAAAGTAAAAAATAAAAAGAAAAAAAAGCCACAAAAATCAAATCAATCTTGTAACGATTCATTGAATGCTGGGGCAAATGATACTAATGATGTTAACGGTGCTAACAATGATGTTGAAGTATTAACGGTAAAATTTCATATATCGTTTTTTTTAAATCAAAATCTATTTTTATCCATTTGTTCATTTTTAATTAATCAGATTTATTTTATTTAGAAAAATTTATCTCGACAACAAAAATTAAAGAAAGATCTTGCGGCTGGGAGATTTCGATTGATTAATGAAAAATTATATACCACAAGTAGTTTATCAGCATTTAAATTATTTCAAGAGAATCCTCAAACATTTGATGAATATCATGAAGGATTTCGATCAGTAGTTAAATCGTGGCCTACAAATCCTGTTGATATTTTGATAAATTATTTAAATCAAAAACCCAAAGATTGGATTGTGGCTGATTTAGGTTGTGGGGAAGGGAAAATTGCTCAAAAAACATCCAATAAAGTTCTTTCTTTTGATTTGGTAGCAAAAAATGATATGATTATTGTATCCGATATAGCAAAGGTATTTTATTAATTAATTACTATTTATTTATTTATTTATTTATTTATTTATTACTATTATTATTATTTATTATATTATTAATTATTTATATTATTATTTCTTTTTTTTTATTTATTTAAAGCTTCCTATACCAAATTCATTCTTCGATATTACAATATTTTGTTTGTCTTTAATGGGTACAAATTATATCGAATTCTTAAAAGAAGCTCATCGTGTCTTGAAACCAATGTATGTTAAATTTAAATTTAATTATTTATTAAAGAATTTAAATTTAATTATTGTTTTTAATTATTATTTTTAATTATTAAATTATTAAAAAAGGGGTGAATTGAAAATAGCCGAGGTTGTAAGTAGATTTTCAGATATTAATGCTTTCATTAAAGTTCTTGCTGAGATTGGATTCGATTTTATAAAAAAGGTATATAAATTGTTTATTATTATTATTTAATTTAATTTAATTTAATTTATTGTTTTACCATTTAATTTATTTATTTGATATTTATATTATTTATTTATTTTTTTTTTTTTAGGATGATTCAAATAAAATGTTTATTATATTGGATTTCATTAAGTCTGCATCACAATTAAAGAAATCAGAGAAATCTCTCTTAGAAAATGCTTCAAAGTTATTAAAACCTTGTTCTTATAAAAAACGCTAAATCAAAAATTAGACAAAGTGAACAATTTTAGAATGTGATTATTATTTAATATAATCAAATGATTTTTTGACTGTAGATAATTACTTATTGTTTATATTTTATAAAAAAAAAAAAAAACAAGAAATATTTTAATTTTTTATAAATAAATAATAGTGTGGCAACTTTTTATAGCACACTAGAGTGATGAACATTTCATAATTTAGGTCTCTTTTCACCTGAAGGATAATAGCTATCACAAAAACAACAGCAATAAAAATATTATCATAACTTTAGGAAATATGTTCAATCTAAAGTTTCTTCAAAAATCTGTAAAATTTCTTAAATATCAAAATTAATGATAATTGAACAAAGAACTTGTTGTATGTCAGGTAATATGTCATGATCGAATTCTAATTTTACACAGACTCAATATGTTTAGCATATACACAAATACTTTGGATGAAATTATACTGAATGGGATATTTTAAATTTCTTAGAATAAAACAATTATGACTAAAGATTGGCCGATATCTAAAAGTCTTGAAAATATTCATAACTTTGAATAAGGAAATAGATCAGAAAAAGTATAACTTCTTAATAAATATAAAAAGTAACCTTTCAATTAATCGGTGTGATGTGGACCTTTAAGCTTCTTGTCATTCAAGTCTTTAAACCAAGCCAGTAAACTAGTGTTAAAGGTACAAATAACCTTTAAGCTTGGCTGATGTTCAGATAGGATGAGATATGTTTATTCGAGAATAGTACTAATTGTCTAAATTTACACTTAAGAATTTACATTCTGATCACAAGGAACATCTTCACAAGCTGAAATTTATAAACTGTGAAAACTAACAATTGAGGGATATAAATCTATGATGTGAAGAACAATAAAAACTATAAATAATTTCATTTCACCAAAAAAACCGAGGTAGAATCAGTAACTCTTTAATTATAATAAATTTAAGCTATGAAAATTTTTTTATAATCAAGACTATTTCATATGGTAATATTCTAGGAAATCTGTATCAAGAACAGTTTATTCTTATCTTTTATTGTTATTATTCATTGTTATTTAAAAGCTAAATACAGATTAAAAAAAAAAGAAATATTTTAATTCATAATTAACTATATTTAATTTAACATTGAAAGCAATCAAACTATATATTCTTCTCCATCATCGAAATGAATGTATTATTCTTGCTGCAGGAATTTCAGGATTAACAATTTTTTCACGAAGTAATGGATCAACTGGAAGATAAATGGCACCAGGCATTTTGTTATTGAGATCTAATAGTTGTTGTTTTGTATATTCTTTTCCATACTCAACAACTTTCTGTTTGTACACTAGTACCCAGTCTTCTTTATGCTCATTAAACAATCCTTTATCAAGACTGTTATAAAAATAAATGCAATTAAGTGCATATTCTTGGTTACTTTCTAAAAGATCATCATCATTAACGAAAGTCTGGAAGATCTGATATTTGATATTATCGTGTATAGAAGCAGGCCACCTAAAATCATCACCCATGTGATCTACAAAGATATTAGTCAAACTGAATAATAAAGCTGTATTAAAAATTTTTTAGAAATTTTAATTGTACCTAAAAACTTTTGTGCCTCGCCTGACTTTTTCTCATATATACAAAGAGACTCCACAGTTTCTAATGGAATATTAAAATGAAGGGTATCAAATTTTTCAGTGATTGAAATATCTTCAGTTGAAGCCTTTTGGGCCATACTATTTAGATCTGTATTAGCTAAAGTGCCTTCAATATTACTAGTCTTGAATTGATCACTTGCTGGAGTGAGAATATTTTTTATAGACTTGTCTTGAGTTATAGCTAAAGTGCCTCCAATATTACTAGTCTTGAACTGATTACTTGCTGGAGTAATAATATTTTTTATAGCAGAATGTTAAATATCAGTACAATATAATTGAAAGTTTTATACTTGATCTTATTTTAACAAAAGTCAAACCTTTTTTTTTTTTAGAGAAAAACTTGAATTTAATTTTTTTAAATTTTTTCATTGTTTGTATACAAATTTTTATGAAAAATTTTCAAATTATAAAATAGATTGCAGATCTATATTAGTGTCTAATTTTCTATAGATTAACTAATGGCATTTGCATTTGTCATTTGTTTGACAAAGGTAAAATTTTAAGATAAAAAACTTGCAAAAGAAGTAGTTATATACTAATAGAATTTGAAATCAATGATATAAATAAATATATTAGAGTTCATGTTTTAATTGATATTTAAACTTAAATATTTTAAAATTGCAGAATTATTGATTTTTTTTTAAAAAAAAACTACAATAATTATAATATAGATAATATTATAATTTGTATTTCATGATTACAAGTACTATCTTTAATAGTATATCACCATTCAAGATTAAACACTTTATTGTTTGTAAAATTATCATCAATATAATTTATATATTCTTTGCTTAAAACAAAATTTCAATGCAATTAGTGATAAATACAATACTTATGAACCTAATATATTCTGCATATAATGATTTTTGTTATATTTTAATTAATTGAACTCTTCTTAAGAATGAAATTTAAATCTTCATGAATCAAGCTCTATTTTTTTTTATATTATTTTTTGAAATCTTGTTTCATTTAATTCTAATAATACATCTAATTTCACTTTTCAACAGTATTCAACATTCTGAAAGGTCATTGGTTATTTCAGTATATTATTAGCAAGAGAAATGGAATTTCAAATTTGAATAATATTGTAATTCAATATTTTTTATACAAATGTTTAGATATTTTTACAACTATAATTTGAGAAGATTAACAAATCAATTATTACATTTGATACATTTGATGCAATTGATATGATTAATATAATTATTAAAATTTGAAAGTTTTATATGTAAAAACAATTGATAATTATTTTTTGATAACTTATCTCATTACTGATAACTTCATTATATCGATATTACTTGCATAAAAAACTTTTTGACAATTTTCATGATTACCTTGAAGGAGAAGTTTTTTTAATTATCTTTTACATATAACAACATTCTCACTACATAGCAGCATCTTGAGAGACCATGATAATCACATGATCACTTTATTTTGTCAAAAAATTTAATTGATTGCGCGCGCCGGGAATTGAACCCGGGTCTGCCGCGTGGCAGGCGGCAATTATACCACTAAACCACACGCGCTGATCAGTTGGTAGGTTAATAATTTATTTTTATATTAATTGTCAAGTAGCTACAATCGTAAACCTCAGATAACACTATTTACGTATTCGTATTTTTTGCATTGCAAAAAAATATATATAAACAATTTAAACGCGAATTTTCAGACAAATAAGGAACGTAAATAATTGAGATAGATTTTAAATACAATGTAGAATAAATTTGACAATGTCACTTTTTTTTTATTCTTTCGGTAAAGCAAATCTTGATAAAAATTAATCTCGAGTTTTATTATTATTGAGGATTTGATGCTATGTATTTGATATATTCTTGCATGAGAATTCCTGAAATAAAGATTGTATGTAATATTTTTATATTGTTTATGTAATGTTTTATAATGGTTATAATATTTATAACGCTTGTAATTTTAAATTCATTTTTTAATAATTAAAATAAACTTACCCATGGTAAGCAAAGCAGTTTCATTCATTTTTCCAAAAATATTTGGGCGTACATTATCATATGTAAAATGGTTACTTGCAAAAAATCGAATTGAATCAAGAAAATCCTTTTAAAATAATAAGAAAATGATTAAAAAAAAAAAATAATAATAATATATTTAACTAAATTTAATTTTTTATCAAGTTTACCGATTCTGGTAAAGGTAAAACTTCTAATTGATTATTTATTTCTTGATTATTTGTTGCGAATTCATTAGGTTCTATGATAATAATAGTAATAAAAAAATATCAATAATCAAAATATTATTATTCATTAATTTGAATTTAAAGAATAAATATCTTTACGATTATCTTTGAATACTTCTGGTACCATTAAAATCTCTGGTGGCGTCATCACACATCATACTTTTCTCCTTGGGATTGTGAATTACTATTATATTTTCGTCTTCATTATATACGGCGATAACTATTTGCATATATTGTAAAGGTGAAGATAAATATATGCATAATGCTCTGTTATAAAAATCAAATACTCACCGTCATTAGACAATTTTGATTCTTGAGTATTATTATCATCATCATCATTATCATTATTATTATTATTATTATTATTATTATTATTATTATTATTATTATTACTACTATTTGCATAATCATTTCTTTCTTGAGTATTATTATTATTATTATTATTATTATTATTTGCATAATCATTTTCTATTATGTTGTCAACTATTTTATAAAAGAAGTATAATTATTATTTCATTGAGATAATAATAAATTTAATTTAAAGTAAATTAATTAATTTAATTTTCATAATTTTAATTCTTACTTGATGGTACTGTTTTTGTTACAATATAATAATAAAATCTGGGATTTTGATCAGGTCCATATATTGCCAACTTTTTATTAGAATCTAGATATTCTTTAATGCGTACAGAAGCAATTGATAAATAATTTGCAACTTCAGTAATTGAATTTGTAACCTGGACCAAATTATTATGATCATCGTAAACGTGAATTAAGGGAATTTCACTTTTCTTTTCGTTAGGTGGGGCTGCTTCATTTGCCAATAACACTATTTTATTATAATTTTTTCAAAATATATTTATAGTTAGAAAAAATAAACTTTTTTTTTTTGTTATAACGAAAAATTATCAAGGCTAACCTACTAGGTGCATAAATGCCCATAGATTTGGCACGAGCAAGAGTTTTTTTATCAAACGGCTTTGTAAAAATATACCATTCCCCATTAAATAAAAGACCAGTGTCTTTCATTTGACGTATTTTAAAAGAATCTTTACAGTTGATAAGAAAGAGGCAGGCTTTTCTCAAAGAATCAAAACAATGAATTAATTTAATCTCTTTATTATATAAATATGCGGCTCTCTTTGACATATTGATTAAAAAAAAAAAAAAAAAAGGAAGTGATTTCAATCAAAAATAATAAACATGGACAGATCAGTGATAAATATATAGAGATCTCGTGTATTACGTGAGTTGCATGAATTACGCGAGAAACATCTGATATATATATAACATGTATCAACGTATTTGCGTTGTGATATATTTCTTATAATACATAATATATAATATTACATACAATTACAATATAATTTGACCCGAATTATAGAACTGGCCTATGTAGATCTTATGTATATCTTTATAACTTCAGCCAACCCTAACCCTAACTCTGGTCAGTTGACATCTGAGTCAAGAAGACATTTGACAACATATATAAATATATTACTTAAAGAATGTTACAAAAAAAAATATTACAAAATATTCAACATTTAGATTCTTGTCAAGTATATCAAAAGTATTATTTTTTTTGTTATTAATAATTAATTAATAAAAAAAAAAAATAAAAATAAATCTACTAAAAATTTGATGTTTGAGAGAGAAGGGTAACCTTTTTCGGTAATTGATTGGAAATGTATGAGGTTAATATTGAAATATTCGAAGAGATAATATTTGTAAGAGAGATGTTGTGGGGGATCTTGAAAGGAAATGTTTTAGTGTTTATGTCAATAATCTGTAAAGAAGTTTTGTCCGACTCAAGTTAAATATAAAAAAACCATTTATAAAGATTTTTTTTTTTCAATTGAATGTACGTAATTTATGTAATGTATACGTCATTTTGAAACTAGTAGATATTGAGGAAGAATCTGGATGGAGTTAAAAGATCTATTAAAGAACTCAGTAGTCATCATGCAATGACGATAGAATTACAATTTAAATATGAGATTAATATCCGAGTAATCAATCCATTTGTCTACTTTTTCTTTTCCATATAAATGATTATTAATTTTTTAATTCTGACGTAAAGAAAATTGATGATAAAAATTCAAATTTCCCCAAATTATTGAAAAAAAAGTCGAATAAAAAAAAAAAATTCTTACCTTTCCAATTTTTTTCCAACTTTTTTTACATTTTTTTTTTATTAATCGACGTTTCCAGAGGATTCAAATAAAATTATTTGTCAAAGAGAATATAATTTCATTTTATAAAAGAAATTTGATATGACGACACTTCATAAACGTAATCAAGAAAGGACTCACGAAGGTATTCATTTGATCCAATTCTTTTATGTATTCGTTGTTTTTTAATATGTATTTGTTGTATATGTTTATTGTATTTATTGTATTTTGTTGTACTTATTGTATTTATTGCGTTTGTATCGTATCGTATCGTATCGTATTAATAAAGTTTTATAATGATAAAAAATTTATAAAAATTTATATAGAAAATCAGGAGCGTGCTTATATTGCAGCAAGTCACCGTGGGGTATGTAGACACGCGATATTATGAGAGTTTGATGATTATCATTCTCTGCATTCCTAAATACGGTATTACTTACTATTGCTTTAAATTTCCTTAAATAAATAAAATTAAAATAAATAAATAAAATGAAATGATAGGATCGTAGTATGGAAGCACGTATTGAATCAGCACGTAAAGCATCTGAAATTCATAAAAAACGAACGGGAAAAGCTTTACGTATTACTCCGGAGGATGTTAGAAATGAAGAAATGTATCAAGAAATTAATGAGAACGAACAAGAACAATTGGAACAATTCCATCAAGAAGTAATTGGTGAATCACCTCGTCCTCAAGGTGCTGCTGCACATTTCAATTATGATCGACAATAAAAATAGAAATGCGATGCGAAACTCACAATAAGCAAAAATAATATAAATAATAAAGTATAATAATAATAATAATAATATCGATATAATAACGATGTATTTTAAGTATTTTTAAGGAGCACTTTTCTGAATTTTTTTTTTTTTTTTTTTGTATCTCGTACCCTGTACGAATAATTTTTCTCAACCAAATAGAACTAAAGGTGTAAGGGAAAGAATAATCAAATGAGAATTACTGAATGTTACAAAATTTACTTTGTATTTAAATTCAAATTTACTGTATATGTATTTATATAATAACAATAAATGTACAGTTAATATCAGATTACTAATACTAGAATGTATATAAAGTTTTAATAAATATTTAAAGATATATTAAGAGGTAAATTTGGAGAATTATGCTATTTAGATTATTTAGATTGATGAATTAATTTGAAAATGAGATGAATGATGGTTTACGAATATTCATAAATTATACATAAATTAGATATAAATTAGATATAGCACTACCATCTTAAGAATCAATCTTCTTTTTTTTTTTAAAAAAAAAAGGAAGAAAATTTTTTGAATTATTTATATACCATGACCAAAAATTACGTCACATGATAAATAAATTATTAAAAATTGAATATTAAAATTTTTTTTTTGAAGTTTATCATCATCACCATTTGTTATTATAAACTCATGTCATCTATTACTACTAAACTTGCCACTGCAACAGTTAATCGAACTCTTTTCAATGCACCGTATTCCTCAGTTGCTATAAAGCAATTATTTGAGGTTTCTAATAGTTATCGTAGTGAAATAAATGTTATTCCTAGTGCTGCCTGGGCAGCAGCACAACGGGGACCCGACGGCTTAGTCACTGCAAAAACTTTTATGAATGGTAAGTTTCGTAATTATTATTATTTTTTTTTTTATATTTATAAAAATCCGAAATAACGAATTAATTTAATTTATAAAGAATTTTTTTCGAGATTAATGAATATTATATATTTTATACATATATAGATAGAAATATTCGTTACTGATTCAAAAGTGTGCATTTATATATATATAATATAATATATTTATTTATTTATTTATATATTTTTTAATTTATTAAAATTATATTAAATGATAGGACAGCGATAATATAAATTTAATAAATAAATTATTATTATTTTATTTTTATTTTTTTTATTTTTTATTTTAGCTGGACCAATAATTGGAAATATTTCGAAACGTTTCTATTCTTCGGCAGCGGCAGTGAATTCCAGTAAATCAGTAATAGTTCCTGATGCCCCTAAATATAAGAAAGATAGTGGAACGTATACCAGTCGTTCATTTGCATATTTGATGGTGGGAGCAACAGGAGTAATGACCGCATCAGCGACCAAGGTCTCGGTTACAGATTTTCTTACAAATTTAAGTGCATCAGCGGATGTATTAGCGATGGCCAAAGCGGAAGTAGATTTATCGAAAGTTCCGGAAGGTAAAAATATTACTATCAAATGGAGAGGAAAACCAATTTTTATAAGACATAGAACAGCTGATGAAATTGCTGAAGCAAATTCAGTTAAATTAACTGATCTTAAAGATCCACAAAGTGATGCTGAAAGAGCCAGAAAACCCGAATGGTTGATTATGATTGTAAGTAATTTATGATTTATTTAAAAATTTACTTTATTATTATTAATTTATAATTTTAATTGTGTTTTTAATTTATTTATATATTTTTTTTTTATTTTATTTTTTTTTAGGGAGTGTGCACTCATTTAGGTAATATATTTAATTAATAATTAATTAATAATTTGAATAATTTGAATAATTTGTAATTGTAACCAAATAATTTAATAATTATTTAGGATGTGTTCCTATTGGTGAAGCAGGGGATTTTGGTGGTTGGTATTGTCCATGTCATGGATCTCATTATGATATATCTGGTAGAATTAGAAAAGGTCCGGCACCACTTAATCTTGAAGTTCCACAATATGAATTTGAAGGCGACACTTTAATTGTTGGATAATATTTAGAATATAATATTCAAAATTTATATTTTTAGAGTAATAATATTCAGAATAATATGCAGTAAAAGAAAGAAGACATTTAAAAAAATTTTATTTATTTATTTTGTCATGATTATGTAATTTGACCTCATAAATAATGTTAGAATAATTATTATTATATAATATTAACAATAAACATAATTCTATTTATTATTGTTAAAGATTTTAATATTTTTAATTTTTATATGTAAATATAATTCTAATTTGAAGTGATTGTTATGAGTTTGTTTATAATTTAGAAAATATAAATTAAAGAAAATAGAAATTAAAGAAAGAAAGAAAGAAGATGCAATTCTTTTAAATTAATATAAATGTATATTATGTCTCTATAAGGACAAATATATATATATATAATGCATCATAAATTTCTCTCCGAAAATCACAAATAAAATAAATAATAAAATTATAAATTACAAGTAATTCCCTTCATTGATATAATCTCAAAAATGAGAAATTTATCGTCGATTTCCCATATTTGGCATACCACCAAGACCCATTTGTTTCATCATAGCCTGCATTTGACTTAAATCCGGCATACCACCTAATCCACCCCCACCACCACCTCCACCTCCCATCTATAAAAATAAAATAAATAATAAATAAATAAATAACAAATGAAGACCAAATAAAGAACAAATTATTAATAATAAATAAATGAATGAATAAATATTTAACCATTTGTCGCATGATATTGTTCATCCCGGGCATTCCACGTGGAAGCATCTAGTTTTTAATATATATGAAAATACGATATTAATAAACGTGATATCAAATAGAATAAGTGTATTAATAAATAATATAAATAATATAAATAATATACCCTTTGCATTTGAGCCATTTTTTGTTGCATTTGTTGCGGAGACATTTTTCCATCCATTCCTGGACCCATTCCTATTAAAATATGTGGAATATATTTTATATATTTTATTTAATAAAATATAGTATGGTATAATATAATATAGTATAGTATAATATAATAATATATTATATAAGATAAATACCTTTAAGTAAACCTTTATTACCACCAAATTTCTTAACCATTCCTTGAAATCCTTTATGTTGTACTAAGAGTTCTTCTACTTCTCTAACAGAAGTACCGGAACCCCGTGCAACACGTAATATACGATTTGGATTTTGATGGAAAATCTTTCCATCAGAATCAAGTTCCGGTTCACTCATACTATCCATAATCGTCATTAACCTATAAACAAAAATAAAATTAAAAATTAAATTAAAATTAAAATTATAATAAAAAAATAAAAAAAAAAAAAAAAAAAAATTAAAAATTAAAATTAAAACCTTTTTATTCTTTGAGCACCAAGTTCATCAGAACCTTCTAGACTCATTTCTGACATTCCTGGCATCATTTGCATCATTTTAGAAAGCGGTCCCATTTTAGATATATTTTGGAATTGCTCATACATATCCCTTATAGTGAAAATACCTAATAAAATAAATTAATATTAAGGTAATTAAATATTGGATAATTATAAATAGTATAAATAGTATAATCAAATAGTTTATTTAATTGAATTACAAACCCTGTTCTAAATTTTTCATTAAATTTTTATTTTGATCCAATTTCAAATCTTGTACAGTTTCCATTAGACCGGAAATATCACCCATTCCTATAAAATAATAAATAATAATAATATTATTAATATTACTAATCAATTATATATTACTATAATTTATAAAACTATAATTATTAATAATCAATTACCCAACATTTTTTGAACAAATCGTCGAGGTTCGAATCTTTCCAAATCATGAATATGTTCACCCGTACCAATAAAAATAATAGGACTATGAGTTGCTGCGACTCTATTGTAAAAAATAAAAATAAAAATAAAAAATAAGCATAAACAATTATTTCATAATTATTACATAATTCTTTTTCAAGATTATTTCACAATTTCATAATTATTGCACAATCATTTTTCACAATCATTTTTCACACAATCAATTTCATAATTATTTTCTCATTATTATTCCTTACGCTGAAATAGCACCACCACCTTTAGCGTGACCATCCATTTTAGTTATAATAATTGAACCAATTTTTGTAGCTTCATGGAATGCTCTAGATTGAGCTTCAGCGGCTTGACCAATTGTTGCGTCCATAACAAAAATGGTATTATCTGGATTCTAAAAATAATTATTAATCCTATCTGTCGATGATATAATAATAATAATTATAATAATAATAATGATATTTACAACAACAGTTGAGATTTGTATCATTTCTTCAAATAATTCCGCTTCTTGTTTATGTCTACCAGAAGTGTCTACTATAATTATTTCAAATCCTTCTTTTTTGAATTTTTCTACTCCTTCATGTGCTATTTGAACTGGATCTGTTTCCGTATAACTAAAATAATAATATTTAAGTTATATTAATAATAACATTAAAGATATATTAAAAAATAACATAAAAGATATATTAACATCAAAGATATACTAAATATATAAATATATTAAATCATTTAGTACCTACCTTCCATAGTACGGTATCTTTGCTTTGGTGGCATTTTGTTTCAATTGATCAAATGCACCAGCCCGAAATGTATCTGCGCACACAAGGCATACTTTCCAACCTTTACGTTGATAATGATATGCCAACTAATTTAAATATATTAAATATATTAAAATAAATTAAAATAAATTAAATAATATTAAATTATTAAATTAAAAATTAAAAATTTTTAAAATTATTAAAAATATTCAAAAAAAAAAAAATATGAAATAATTATAAATTTTTACTTTTGTGCAAGTAGTTGTTTTACCACTACCCTGTAATCCTACAAACATGATGATATTTTTTGCACCTTTTTTTGGTTTGAATGTTTCAACTCCTGGTTCTACAAGCCGACAAAGTTCATCTAAAACTGCCTAATCATTTTAAAAATCATTTTAAAAAATCATTTAAAAACATTTAAATAAATTTAAAATAACAATTTTTTTTTTTATTAAGTAATACATGATCTAAAAAAGAAGTTTAAATATTTTTCACCTTTTGTATAACCTTTCTCTTATTTATTCCTGCTGCAAGATCTTGAATCTTAACAGCATTTTTAACATTATTTCTTAAATTTCCTACTAGGCGAACATTGACATCCGCTTCCAGAAGTGCGTGACAAATTTCTTTTAATAGTACATCAAGAACCTTGGTAAAATTGATATTTCAAACTGTCAGAACTGATTATTAACAAAATAAAATAATATATAATAATAATAATAATAATAATAAGATCTATTATAGTTGTTGTTAAAAGTTCCAACACACTTTTGCATCTATAACTGGTTCTTTGTTAATTTGAGCTAATGCTGCATTAATGCGACGACCAAGATCAGCTAAAACCATTTTTTTTTTAACTTGTGTGAAAAAAGACAATTCAAATATCAATAATCGATCGACAGTTATATAATCTTGACATTAGCACGTGCTTATTTTTTATTTAACAGTGAAAATTAAAATAAATAAATTGAATTAATTAAATAAAGAGGATAGATATTCAAAAGAGAATAGAATGTAACCAAAAATAATAATAAATTATATCATTGTTTCTATCGTTATCATTGTTATTATCTTATCGTATCGTTATTATGATTATATGATGATGATTATTTTATATTATAAAGATTTATTCATGAATTTCCTCTTTTGAAAACACATCCACCATTTACTGGGTTTTCCATCAACATAAACTCTTTCCACAAATCTACTAGCTAATTCCTGACGAACTTGTATTAAATATTGACGTAAAAGATCTAAATGAAAATATTTAAAATATTATATTAATATTAAATATCAAATAATAAATATTAAATACCAAATAATAAATAATAATAAATAATAAATATTAAATATGAAATAATAATAAATATTAATTAAATATTAAAACTTACCCGCATCAGCTCGATTCGATGGAGCAGAATATAAAGCATTTAATGGAAAACCTGAATCACCAGGCAAAGAGAAATTATCTAATGCTCTAGTATTTAAAATTTTAGATGCTTCTCTTTGGGAAGGATTTTTAACAAGTCTATTTAAACAATCGGATATAAATAAAATCAAATAAATTAAAACTCTATCTGCATTTCCTTTAATTTCAAAATTCCGAAAAAAACAATTTGCTCGAAAGTAATCAAGTGCTTCGTCAATAATATCATCGTTAACCGATGATGCTATAAAAAAACAAATTAAAAAAAAATAATATTTTTTATATTAGTAATCTAATTTAATAATATAATTAAAAAAAAAATAACATTTTAAAAATATTTAATTAATACCTGTAGGTGCAGGTCCTCGAAATTTAGTTTTTATTGGTAATAAACTCATATTACCAATTACTCTCCAAGTTGAGTCTTCATTAAATTGAGAATGATATGCCTAAATTAATGAAAAAAAAAAGAATATTAATAATCTGTTAACTTGTATTCATCTTGTCCTTATTGATATTATTTGAATTTTGCTTACTGGCATTTTTTTTTTTAAAATAAGTTTTTCGTTGAGTGAAAATTTGACTGCTGATTATTTGTGCTTATGTACTTTGTACTACTTCTATTGTCATGTGGATGAATATAAACGTATTAAGTTATTTATTGACTGAATATGGAAACATAAAATACGCGTTATCTTGTTTGTCATAACTATGTATATTTCTAATCAGTGATATATTATATATTGTAATAAACCATTCACAATATTTAGTTTCGTCAAAAACATCGTTAAACATAGTTATGACCATCGTCTTGTACTAATCAAGTATAGCCCAACAGAAATATATTTCATCCATTAGTATTATAATATTATAATATTTATTATTTATTAGATGTAATGCTGCGTTTTTACAATCAGTTGAAATATCTTAGTAGGTAAAATTAATTAACACTAATGTTATATATATATATATTGACTTATTAGATTATTCTTAAAACTTTATTTGCTTGAACAAAGAATCACACGAAAATTGTTTATTAATATTTATTTATTTATTATTATTTAATTAACTGAATTTTGAAAAATATAAGATTATTGAAACAATTCTTACTTATTTCTGTGAAAACTTCAATTTCTGCTAATATGGAAAGTAATATATTTTCCCAAAAGAAAGAACGAACCTATTCAATATAAATTTAACTTATAGAAAGAAAAAAATTAATTAATAAACATAATAAATTATAACAAATGACATAAAACTTGTACTTTCCTCAATAAAACCCTGACCTATTAGTAAGTAAATCTATTGAAGTATTCCCTACCTACTTGTAGGATTAACACAACACATTTTCATATCAATAAAATTGTAACCAAAAAAAAAAAATTTTTACGACTTTAAAATACAAAAAATATTTAATAAAGGAATTTGGAAATTTATTAACTATATCTTAAAAATATCAAGTACAATATATCTGAGAAGATTCACAAAAAGATAAAGGAAATCAATTACATAATAAAATAAAATAATAATACAAAGTAAATATATGATAAATATATGAAACGAATTAGTTAGTTTAAATTATCTAATAATAAATTAATAAAGTCTTTTTAATTGATTTTACATAATTAAAAGATACAATATTATACTCCTTTAAATCCACAGTAATTCTATATTATTGTTTATTAATAAATTAAAATATTTTATCTCTTGCTAATTTGAAAAACTTCATAATCATGTATTGAATATTTTCCATATATTTCTACAAATTGTTTTTTAAATATTTCAATTTTATTGATGAAAAAAATTTTACCAGACTCATATATATAATCGCCAAAACATGGACCGGTAAAAAAATAATTATTAATCATCGAATTGGCTGTTACACGATTAAGAATAGAATTTTCATTATTTTTATTTTTTAAAGAAAAAACAAAACAGTCCTCATTTTCATAATTTTCATCATTTTCAGAAACTTGACTATTAAATTTATAATTCCAGCCAATAGGATTGTAACCACCAATGATTTCGTCTGTATTTTCAACTTTTGCAACAAAAATAACATTTGTTTTCTGATCACATAATTCCCAAAATTTAAAAGTTGAAAATCCATCTCTACTTCCACGAAGAATAAGGTTAAATTCATATGGATTATTGTTTATATTATATGTTTTTTCATTCTTATCAATCCAAGAGGCGATTTCAGCTGCGTGTTCCTTGGTAATAGTTGATGATGTCATTTGAAAATTATTTTCACGATTTGGAAGCTGAGGGGTAAATATTTTACGAGGTGATAAAATTGTTGAGGTGATAGCTTTGTTTGAAGTCATAGAATATTTTAAAATATCAACCTTCAATTTTTTATCAAAAATTTGTTGATATGGGTAAACCTTTTCTATAATTTTTTCAATAGAGATTTGAAAATATCGGATGTGGGGTAAACATTTTCTTAAGGTATTTTTTAGAATTTGAAAATCCTTATCAATCCAATCATCAAGGTTTGAATGTAAAGTTTTATTTTGAGAAATGCCCCATTGAATCACATGATCCCAGATTTTGGATTCTTCTAGTTGCAAGTCATCCCTTTGAATAATAGATATTAAAGCTGCTTCTGGAAGAGTAAAAAAATCCTTTGATTCAAATATTAAATTAGGATGCCTGGCAATTATATCATTGCAAAAATTTTGAATTGCTTTCAAATTATTATTAGTTTGAAAACTTGAATGATAAATTTTCGAAAAATTCAATTTTAACCAAGAAGAATGATTTTCAATAAGAAAAGTTTGAAGCATCATAACCAATTCTTCAAGTTGAAATTCATTAGCAGTTATCAAAAGATCAAAAATAGTAGATTTTTCAACTTTTTCAAGATTGACCATAGCGCCATAAATATATCTGCAAAATATTTTATTAAAGTATTAATATATTGCGTTTATATATCAATAAAATTTATCGTTTAACCCTTACTTTATAATAATATTAATAACTTTAGCAGATATTTGTGGTTTCTGAATGATTTTAATATTATCATCATTGTTGATAGTCGATTTTTTAAATTCTTCGTAGAGATAAGGACATCGGTAACACAAGACTGTCGAATGAATTTTAAAAGTTTGCATCCTTGGAGATTCTCCGACTTCAATAATAATATTATATTCATCTCCATTTTCTAAAAGTTTAATAAAATCATTTGATAAATTTTCAAAAAAATTTGTTGCCATATTGAAGAAAAAGAAAATTGGTAAAATGGAAAAATGTGTTCAAAATATTAATTCTATTCACTCCACCTTTATGAAACTATTGAAACGTATAGTGTTCGAATCCGGTCTTTATTTGATCTATAGGCGTTTTATAATAATTATTTCCTTATTTAGATTTTATTTTTAAGAAACGTGATGCAAATAATATACATTGTTCACGTGATATATTGAAAGTGAATACCACGTGGACATTGAATAATTAGTTGCGGACTTTAAGTATCAAAAAATAACCTATCAAAAAAATAACTATAGGAATAACCCTAAAACGATAATTTTGCGTTACCTATTGGTTATTTTATTTTTAAGTAACGTGATGCGAATAATTAGTTGCACACGTTACTAAAGTATCAAAAAAAAATAGCCATATAAATTTATCAAAAACAATACTTTTGCCACACTGTGTAATAAAAAAACAACATAATTTATTACACAAAGTTGATTTTTTAATATAATATATATCAGCTAAAAAGATTACCTTACATGGTATCGACTTAGCTGATTCACAAAGACTAAGTCGGAACGCCGAAAATAATTTCGGCAGTGCTCGTGATCGTGATTTTAAATAATATTTCGACGCTAATACAAATATTTTAAATATCTTTGGTGATTTTTATTTATGGAGAATCAGATAGTACTTCGGAATAATCAATTTCTTTAGAATTTTGCATTATAATTGGTCCAATTGAAAATCTAAATACGCGTGATTCTTGTATAAATTTGTCATACTGATACCATTTTGTTAACAGTATCTTTTTTTCCGACTCAATAATTTTGCAAAAGAAAAATATCTTTAAAATTTTTTGACAAGTTATCCCAAAACCTTATTGAACTTCTTAAAGATAAAGATGATTACAATGTAATCATTGAAGTTGAAAATAAGGAAAAATCATTTACAGCACATTCTAACGTATTAAAATGTAGGTCACCATATTTCCATAAAGAATTAGAAAATATTCAGCCAAATATTTCCGCTCAGATTTCTGATGTTATTATTAAGTAAGTTATTATCAATAATGAAAATATTATTACTTATATGAAATTAGATTTATTCATTATTATTATAATTTTATAAATTTATTTATTTAATTATTATTTTATTTTACGTAGATACATTTACGGTGGAATTGTTAATTTAGAAAATGTCGAGACAAGGTTTATTTTTGATTTAATGTTAACTACTGATAAATTTGAACTCGAGGAATTAACCAACAAATTAGAAATTCATCTTATTGAAACTAAAGCTTCTTGGTTAAGAACTCATTTTTCTCTTATTTATCATAATATTTTTAGTAAAAATAGCTTTAAAAATTTAGAAAATTTTTGTAATGATATTATTGCCAAATATCCAAATCTTATTTTTGATTCCAATGATTTTCCCTTTCTTCCCGAACCTGCACTAATGTCTCTTCTCAAGCGAGATGATTTGAAAATTGAAGAAATTAAAATTTGGGATTATGTCATCAAGTGGGGAATTGCTCAGAATCCTGGTTTGCCAATAGATGTTGAAGAATGGACCAATGAAAATTTCTTTACACTAAAAACTTCTTTACAACAATGTCTCCCATATATTCATTAATTTCAACTTTCAAACGCAGAAATATATGATAAAATTAAACCTTACAAAAAAATTCTCAATAAACAACTTTGGGAAGATATAGCACTTCCTGATCGACCAGTAAAATCAGTTATTTTACCACCAAGAACAATTTTAATTACCGAATTACCTTCACGTGCAAAGGAACCTTTTTCAACTATAATTTCCAAAGAACATGCAGCAGAAATTTCTGCATGGATTGATTATAAAGAAGTTGCTTATCCTTCAACAAATATTCCATATGATTTCCAATTAATTTTAAATGGGATTAAAGATGGATTCGCTCCTCAAACATTCTGGAATATTTGCCATGGTCATTCTAATGCAATATTTGTAGCAAAAGTTAAAGGAACTGACGAAATTATTGGAGGTAATAATCCTTTAGCATGGGATAACACTACTGATGATAAATGGGCGCAAACGAATGATAGTTTCATTTTCTCATTAAAAAATGGGAATATTCAAAATTCATTTCTTAGCAGAGTAAACAATCCCCAATTTGCAATTCGTAATATATAAAAACATGGTCAAAACCAGACTGGGCCAAAATTTGGACGGAATCTTTGTTTGTTTAGTTATAAATCCAATTTAACTTTAGATAATAATAATTACATAATTACTATGATGCCAATGGGGATTTTATGAAAAACCTATAAGAACATCATCATCAAATCACTTTTCAATTGTCAAT